CTGATGCCACCCTCCAGTCCTCTGGAACTGGAGGGTGGCATCAGTGGTCCCAATTTTCAAAAAGGGTAGTAGAGGGAACACGGGGAATTACAGACCTATTAGCCTTACGTCCATTGTAGGAAAAACAATGGAAAGACTCATAATAGAGGGAGATCTAGTGATGCTAGATAGGGAAGGGAGGCTGGCAGCCACACAACACGGCTTCCACAGAAACAGGTCCTGCCAGACAAACGTTGTAGAATTCTATGACAAGGTTTCGAGATGGCTAGATGGAGGGGATGCAGTGGATGTGGTATACCTGGATTTCAGCAAGGCCTTTGACAAAGTGCCCCATGATATCCTGGTGGAGAAACTGAGGAGTTTTGGGATACACCAGAGCACTCTCCGGTGGATTAGGGCATGGTTGACTGACCGAAAGCAGAGGGTAACCATTAGTGAGGAATCATTGGAATGGCGGCCAGTGACAAGCGGGGTCCCCCAGGGCTCTGTCCTGGGGCCAACCCTGTTTAATCTTTTCATCAATGACATGGAAGAAGGGGTGAACAGTCTGCTGATCAAATTCGCAGACACTAAAACTGGGGCAGTGGCCACAACTGAGGAGCAGGTACTCCAGATCCAAAAGGATCTGGACAGACTATGGAAGTGGGCAGGAGACAACAGGATGGCATTCAATGTGGATAAGTGCAAGGTCTTGCATTTGGGGCATAGGAAGAGCTGTCATAAGTACAGGTTAGGTGATAAGTGGCTGGAGAGCAGCACTTGTGAAAGGGACCTCGGGGTACTGGTTGACTGCAGGCTAAACATGCGTCAGCAGTGTGATGTGGTGGTCAAGAGGGCGAATGCCACCCTTGGTTGCATAGCCAGAAGTGTGGCTTCTAGATTGAGAGAGGTATTACTATCACTCTATATGACTCTGGCGCACCCGCAACTGGAGTATTGTGCTCAGTTTTGGGCCCCTCATTACAGAAAGGATATAGCCAGGTTGGAGTCAGTGCAGTGTAGGGCCAC